TCACACACTAAACCAATATGTCTTCAAACAACTGCAATTCATTATAAACGAACAAATGAATTTCCTTTGGAGAATGTATTTTCAATATTAATTAGTTTTCATTGGAAATGATTCGTGTCAATCAAGTGCGCTCGGTGGGGGGTAATCGAACGAATAATTTCAGAGTGAAATGCGCTATCATACGGCAATATTGTGTTGGTTTTTTGGATTGAGTTTAGGATGTAATTTCGTGGCGGATCTTGTATCGGATACGGAAACACCATTCTATATTGAAGTCATTTTCTTCAATGAAACTACTTCTCCACTGTAATTCTTTGCAATATTTTCTATTGCTTTTTTTCGCTTCAAGTTAAATTTTTCACTTCAGTTTTGAATCATCCAACTGTAGAAGAGATAAAATACTGGTTCAAAAGGGGTGGTGGATGCAAGACGCCTCAGAGTGTCTCGAAATCAAATCACCTCTCTCCATTGTAGTAACGAAAAAAAAACTCCTAAGATACTCTCATACTTGGTACTTTCTTCACTTCCAAAGTTAATGAAAAGGAAAAGTGAAGAAATTCATGAGTAAATTATGAAAAAATTATTTACTCACACCGTGCGTTATCCTTTTTGGCATTCAAGATTCACTCGTCAGTGAATTCAAGGGAATTTAGGACGATTGCCCTCACTGGATTGCTATTCGCTCCCCAGTCCACTTATAAGGGAGTTAGGACACTATAAGGGAATCTGTGTCTTTGAACTGAACATTCGCATCATAAATCTCTTATAAGTCCAATAAGAGATTCGAATTGAGTAACAGAGTGCAATCAAATTATCTAGAATGCATATGGAGAAGGGTGATACAAAGAGATTATTGATTGTTGGTGAAGAGTGCTATAGCGAGCTAACGATCGTTCGAGTCTATGAAGATACTGGCTCTGGAAAGTCGGATGATTATTTTGAGACTTCTAGTTATCTGGGTGGATCTGGCATACTGAATTATGTTGTATGTTATTACATTTTATTCGACAAGTAAAATCTTTTCCACATAATTCGAACTTTCCAGTCCAAAGTGGATCAAAAGTGGATCAAATTGTTCCAATATCATTGATCAAAACTTTGATCAATGATATTGGATCAAAACTGTGCCGAAGCCATGGTGGAACTCGAAAACTTTTGTCTTAATTTTCACTCAAAGACAAACAGTCCTGATGAAGTCTCCAAAAACATCAGAGAAATACACCGATCATATTGTTCCATTCAATTTCGGAAAATTCTACTCCTGATATCTATAAAATGATCTCAATCGGCTCGAAAAAAGTCATTTTTGTCGTGATAAATTCAGTGAAACTCAAGTTTTGACTAACTTTTCCAGGTGAGCGATAACTTGCAACCACGAATGAGAATGCGTGCAGGTGTTTTTTGTGGGTTTGGTGATTGCGGACATGGATAGTCACGATGAAGATTTTAATAACTACCTCTGTGATATCAATCAATTGAACCAGAACTCTTTTGCCCAATATGCTACCTCACTTGAAGTCTTTCAGTTCAGCACCCGTATATGGATGTATAACCTCATTTCGTTCTTATGCAATATGATAATGAGGTGATCTATCTATCTATGGTTATATATACATTATATAATAACAGTTGCATAAATATTATGATTAGTGTTAATATCATTAACATCTTATCCGTAGTCACAAAAAGGTACCTGTTTTTATTATATAATTCAGCACCTTCTCGAAGGCGAGACCTCCAGCCCTTACTCATCTCTTTATTTTTAGACTCGTTATCGCTTCAGAAAATCAGATCGTTTTGAAAGGATATCAGAATAATGTTGATAAATCATACACTGCACGCATATTATATTTCTGTATCAATGATTAAATTGAATTTCGGTTAACTAAATCCATAATAATAAATAAATTGAATTCCTTATACATTAGTATTCATCAATTGTATTGTTCATATTCATTGTATTCATTAACCTTATTAGTGAATTACAGCAAGCAACTGAAATTCGACAACGAAATGGGTTTTTATCACCATTTCTAAATTCACTATAGTGAATTCAATTTCTGTAAGATAACTGAACTGAACAGCAGCTCAAGTAAACTCTTTAGTGCGAGTTTTGCATATTCAACCCATATTCACCAGCAGATTTAGTGAAGGTATTGAGAAATAGCTCCTCATAAGCTTTCCCAGCGAAGCTTGACGACTAGTTTACTTCTTTCTAGACCATGCATATGTTCTGATTCTGTCATCTAATGAATTTCAACCACAAACAGCCCGAGACGGTAGAAGTCCTCTGGAAGAGTTTCAGAAATCGCCCATTAACAGCGATTTGAAAACATGTTGAAAAATGTCATGCTCACCTCGTTCTAAACCTGGCAAGTTTTGAGTTGATCTTTAATACTGCAGGATTATCCGGTGGATAATATAGATGGCTTAATCAAGCTCATGAGCAATCGAAAGCATGATCAATTACAAAACCATGTGTAACGTAAAATTCCATGTTTTCATGCAATAGACATCGCTTGTATAGTTGCATCATACGAGCAAGCGTTTCCTCACTAAGCGAGTTACTGCGAACGGAGTACAGTGACTTTTTCGAACCTCACGAATGTGATTGATGCCAACCGCGATAACAGCACATTCAGCTAGTCAGCTGATTCATCGGTTTGTTTTCAGCCGTTCGTCATGAATATTTCTCGTTGTAATAATGGAGTCATCGAAAACACAGCGGAGAAACCAAGTCTTCTGATTAACCCAGTTGTTCTCATGTGAGATTGTGCGTTCCACTGTTGCTCTTGACAATTTGGCCTGTTTCTATGATAATATCGCGAAATCATAGCCTCTTTTCGTATATAATTTAAAACGAAATAACGAGAACAACCTATCAATTTGAGTTGAATTTTCAGTGTTGCATCTTGCCGAATCATTAGTGGAGTGATATATACAAGATTAGCAGTCATTCTTCCGAGTGAATATAGAGGCGTTGTAGTAACATCGACAGATCTAACTGCGCATGATTCCATACATTGCCTACAAGCACTATCAAAAGAAGAAGCAACAAGCGGCTTCGATGGCAGAAGCTTCGGCCAATTCGAGTCTTATCGACTTCACTGATAGCAATGGTAGCCTAACATCATCACCTCAAGTTTCGCTTCTGTTCAATGAACGAGTACGCTCCTTATTCGATATTATCATTTTGCATGCAAAACGTTTCGATTACAGACAGTAATCCTGATACATTAGAAATAATTTGGTTCAAGAAATGGTAGTTTATCACTACATGAAGTTGTTTTTTCAAACTGAAGATGCAGAAAACCAAAAGTTCAGTGGAACTTTTCTAAATCTAAGGTCTAGAATAAGTAAGTGAACTGATTGGCCGATTACCACTGGATGAAATAACGAAGTTATCTTTGGTCCATACTAGGGTTCGATTACAGGAAGCGTTCTCGTTGAAAGGTGTCGCGGCAAAACGCATACTCGAAGGTGAAGAAAGTGCAGAGGAGTGGTACGTGAATGGCAAACTATCGATAATAGAAAAGGTATGCAGTTAAAGTCAAATGCTGGAATATTTAATTGAGGTTCGTAGCATAAGTGGAATTCAAAACCGGATATTAATTGAAGTGTCGTGCTCTAGAAAGACGCATGCACTAAGCTTTAGACTATTTTTTCGTCAAATTTAAATGCAATGATCAATTCTGGTTTTTACTGGTTTCCCTCTTCCGGAAAAGGACTGGGCTGGGCTTTTCATACTTAAATGGAAATAAATACACGTCAAATTTTCACTTCTTCGAATGGATTTGACTCGAATGTGAGTAGATCACTTGATATATGCCTAGCAGAAAATTGTTTGGACATTGCATAAATTGTGCAGGCTCATGGAATAATGATTGAATGGGAACCAGTGGAAGAGGATGGTTGGGTGTTGACGAATGGTGACGATACAGCAGATGCAACCCTATCGACATCACCGACTGTCACAGGTGATGCGGCTGCAAGAACACCACCACGAAACAGCGTTGGTGGCACAAAACTTCAGTTCTCGGTTGATATTAAGGATCTACGATCGTTCCAGTGTGTGGAACCGAAAAAAGGTTGAACTGACCATTTGCCTGCATTACGCTTAGCTCCTTTTCCGTCTGTCCCTTTATATGCAGTGTAATATTTTTACCTGAAAAGAAACTGTAATGGATCCTTAAATCACAACTTTTCCCTGGTAGAAGAACACAAAGACGAGATGACAAGTCTGATGGATTCATTCTGGAAATATTTTGGACCAGATTCTCAAAAGATAAACTGTGAAAAGATTTGAGCAGTTCTGAAAGGTTTTTTGGAAGTTTACTAGTGGTTAGCTAAAAAAACCGTATTTGCTAGATCACGAAAAGATAGGAAGAGTTGAATTATGGTGTGAGAAGAAAATGAATAAGTGCAAATACATTTGAGGTAAAGGATGTGCATGGATTCGTTTCATCAGCAAAGACGGTACAAACTATATACCGTTGTATTTCCGTCATGGAGGAATTTCATCGTTTGTGGAGCATTTGCAAAGGTATACGCGAGTTGTGGCTCTTTTGAGTACATTTCAAGAACTCTTTCAAATGATTCAAAGACAAGAATCAGTGAATGATTTGTTTATTGTCTATCAAAAGATGTTGAAAGTGTTCGTTGCAAGTTTTGTTATTGAAATGTAATTGTTAAGATTCTACTGATTGTTCAGGTACGCAACATTGAAACGTTCGGCACGTGAGTCGAATCTCGTGCTGTTCACCGACGAAAGAATTGAAGCTCTCGAGCAATCAGTTTCAATTCTCAATTTGAATAGTGACTTCTTTTCGGTTAGCTTTATGCACCTTTCTTAATAATTTATATTTTTGGATGTTTTTGATGTTACGTGAATGTAAAAACTTATGACGTTGAGATAGTTTCAGCGTATGGTGGCAAATCCATATGCAACGGCAATGAC